CCCCCCCCCCGCGGCTGCTGGCGGAGCCGCTGTTTCACTGCTGCGGCCGTCTCACTCGCGTGTGGGGTTGAGGTTATGTTCGATCCTCGTTCCACTCGCGGGGCTCTCCCCACTGCTGGGGATTTTTTTCCCCTCTCTCTCTCTCTCGCGCGCGGACTTGGCCGTCTTTTTTCGGGCCGGGGGTGAGGTTGGGGCTTCTCACTTCATCCCACTCCGACGGCCTGCGCGCCGAGCGCCAATGCACGGCTTCTCGGGTTCGGAGATGGTTTGGAGAGAATACGGAGGAGTCGATTTTTGGGGGCCTGAGGGACCCGGGCTTCGGGGCTGGGGTCTTTTGGGGGTAGGTCGGAGAGGTCAGGATTTTTGGGGGGAGCGGTGGGTGGCCATTTTTGGAAACATGGGGGGGATCGATTTTTCGGGAAAGATATCGATCATTTTTAAATATCGATGTTTTTTTGGAGGGAAAAATAGTATATTTCGTAACGAGTGCAAAAAAACATTTTTTCACGAGTTACGAACAATATTTTTCATCACAATGTGGCGGAAATTGGACTTTTGGGCACGCGGAGCTGACGAAAAGTTCACTTTTCGTCACAGCGTGATGAAAATTATAATTTTTTTTAATGTTGTTTTTGTGGAAGATATTTATTTAAAAATTAATAAACTTGAGGGTCTGGGGATGAGTACTGCGGAGAATACGGAGGAGTCGATTTTTGGGGGCCTGAGGGACCCGGGCTTCGGGGCTGGGGTCTTTTGGGGTTAGGTCGGAGAGGTCAGGATTTTTGGGGGGAGCGGTGGGTGGCCATTTTTGGAAACATGGGAGGGATCGATTTTTCGGGAAATATATCGATCATTTTTAAATATCGATGTTTTTTTGGAGGGAAAAATAGTATATTTCGTAACGAGTGCAAAAAAGTGTTTTTTGGCGAGTGGGAGGTTTACATCGCGAGCCGAAGGCGAGTGATATAATCCCACGAGCTAAAAAACATTTTTTCACGAGTTACGAACAATATTTTTCATCACAATGTGGCGGAAATTGGACTTTTAGGCACGCGGAGCTGACGAAAAGTTCACTTTTCGTCACAGCGTGATGAAAATTATAATTTTTTTAAATGTTGTTTTTTTGAAAGATATTTATTTAAAAATTAATAAACTTGAGGGTCTAGGGATGAGTACTGCTGGAAGGTGGAATTTTGAATCTCGAAACGGGTTAGTTGATTAATTGAAGAAATATTGAATTTAAAATATTGAATTTTTTCCGTGGCCGATAGACTAACCTAAAAATAAACAAGACGATTGGACTCGTCAACTTACGATTTATATCGTGCATACTGCAGAAAAGAATTACTTCCGATAAATTATAATTTTTTTATTCTAATATAATTATTACTTAAAAATTTACGTCATTAAAATTTAGATAATTATCATTCTAAACTTTTTTAGCTTGATTGAAAATATCGATACTTGAAAAAAAGAATCGAAAATCGATAAATCAACCGTTGAAAACACCATCATTATTATTCGATAAAAAAATTAAAAATTTTGTCATCTTGATTAAAACCATCGATGCTTGGAGAAGAATCAAAAATCGATTAATCGACCGTTGCAAACGAAAAATCGATGTTTTCGATTAATCGCCGAATATCGCCCATTCCTAGTACCGACGGGAAAAGTATTTGGCGAATTCAAGAGAACTCGAATGGAGGTATCGAATCGAACGCCAAACATTTCCCTACAAATTCCTATGCCTCATTCCCTCCAAGAATTTACGGTTAAATTCCGGTATATTTACCGGTTTCACAGGTAAAAATGGTTCTCTGTATTGCAACATAACCCTAAAAATCTGAATGACAGTCCCTAACCTCCAAAAATCGTCGTCCTCTCGTCATTTTTCTCCCCCGGACGAACCAAAAACCCCAGATTATCGATTTCGATCACAACCCACTCCACCGATGCCCCAAAACCCATTGACATTGAAATGACGAGTGCATTGTCATCCCGCTGACCGAGTTTTCCCCACATGTGCCCGCGGACAAAACAGCTGACAGTATTTGTCGAATTTGGGTCGACGAGTTAAGGGAAACTTTGAATGGTATTCGATTGTTTCGGGTGAGTAATAGGCGCAGGGGGAGTCAACGGGGTTTTGACGCGGTCACCTAGCGCCCCCGGGGCAGGGGAGTCTGATTTTATGGCTAAACTAGCCCGAACTCCGGATTTTCGGAAGTACTTTGGCCCCAACAATGGGAAAAAGTGGGTGGAGTTGACTTTTTCATTAGAAATATTATCAGTAGTGGAATTACCCTGCGACTGTGCTAATTCGTAGGTGTCCACAGTCACTGTTGTCCTCCACTTAGCACTCTGCACGAGGCCCCTTGACTCCTCACTCTCTCTCTCTCTCTCTCGCTCTCCCTCTCCCTCCCCCCCTCTCTCTCTCTCGCGCGCTTTACCTGAGGTATATTGTAACGTCAGGGTGAACCGCCCGGACACTTTGTGGACCCTGTTATTTCGATATAAATCACAGCACGGGTTCTCTCTCTTCTGTGTACCTACAGTGTGACGTGAGGGGTTTTAAAGTCGACTGGTTAAATATATACATCGGAAGCAGGAAAAAAATTGTTTTATTTTTCCTCCATTGGCATCGACTCTGGGTCGTTTTAAAAAGTCGATTAATGCCGTATATCATTCAATTATGGGGTGATTTATGTCGGTTATAATTATTTCTTCTTTCTCTTTAGGGAGGAGATATTGGTGATTATGGGGGGAGATGGAGTTACGGTATCTGTCTGTATTATTTCGTCGTTGTGCGGAGGGAGAGCAATTAGATACGGACTTTTGGGAGGTTCATTGGGCAAAAAGTTTTCTCATTTGTTTGGTTGACCCTTCAGCCCTCAAAAATCCCCTGAATTGAATTTTCCGCTGACGAATATTCCGCTGGTTTCAGCTTCGTTTCTTGGCTGTACCATTTACGTTGACTCATCGTGGAATATACCATCTTATCTCTCTACTTTCATTACATTGACATTGTAGAATGTTATTAACAACTTGAGACTCACATTTCAACTGTAATTATTGTGTAATTATCAAACAAGTTTTGCGTTACGCTGACGACGAGAAATAATCAGAAATTTGTAAATAATTTCACGTTAGGAGGGACGAGATCACTGAATTACTAAGGAATTTCCAGTGAAAACACTTTTGGATCGTCTCAGAATTTTCCAATCATTGATATTCCTCGAGAGAATCAACGAGACGTCATCACAAGATGTAATTTTCGCGGTGAACAGTCATCTCTCTTGTTGCTACCGTTCTATAATTGTTCATCTCATTATATCCACTGCAAAAATACTTAACAAAAAATCTGGAATTTTCTAGTAAATTCCGACAGATGGCGCCACTGCGGATAAGGAACCATAAGGACTTTTTCCCTAAATGCCCCCCCGTAAAATAATAATCAGAAATAACCCGAAATTTGTAAATAATTTCATGTTCGGAGGGACAAGATCACTGAATTACTAAGGAATTTCCCCTGAAAAAACTTTCGGATCGTCTCAGAATTTTCCAATCATTGATATTCCTCAAGAGAATCAACGAGACGTCATCACAAGATGTAATTTTCGCAGTGAACGGTCATCTCTCTTGTCACTACCGTTCTATAATTGTTCATCTCATTATATCCACTGCAAAAATACTTAACAAAAAATCTGGAATTTTCTAGTAAATTCCGACAGATGGCGCCACTGAGGATAAGGAACCATAAGGACTTTTTCCCTAAATGCCCCCCCGTAAAATAATAATCAGAAATAACCCGAAATTTGTAAATAATTTCATGTTCGGAGGGACAANCACAAGATCAATGAATTACTAAGGAATTTCCAGTGAAAACACTTTTGGATCGTCTCAGAATTTTCCAATCATTGATATCCCTCGAGAGAATCAACGAGACGTCATCACAAGATGTAATTTTCGCAGTGAACGGTCATCTCTCTTGTCACTACCGTTCTATAATTGTTCATCTCATTATATCCACTGCAAAAATACTTAACAAAAAATCTGGAATTTTCTAGTAAATTCCGACAGATGGCGCCACTGCGGATAAGGAACCATAAGGACTTTTTCCCTAAATGCCCCCCCGTAAAATAATAATCAGAAATAACCCGAAATTTGTAAATAATTTCATGTTCGGAGGGACGAGATCACTGAATTACTAAGGAATTTCCGCTGAAAAAACTTTTGGATCGTCTTCTAGAAAATTCCGACAGATGGCGCCACTGAGGATAAGGAACCATAAGGACTTTTTCCCGAATGCCCCGTAAAAAAATCACTGCCTCAACCCGATTTGAGGCTCAATATTGGTTTTCCTTTCGAGATACCGATATCTGACCGATGATATCGCGGAATTTCTTGTTACAATGAAATTACTGGATGCATCGAGAGAGAAAGAGAGCTCGTGTGGCACATTTGTCCCAGCACAGAGATTTTGCGAGCGTTGGGCACGCGATTGTGTACACGCATGTAGCAGCGAAGCACTAACGGGACATGCACACACGATTTGGTCGTAATATAATAATACTGTTGGAGGGGGTGTACATGGCAAGAGCCATTGGGTACATAATACGA